GTGCTTGGAAAAGCCGGCCTGAATTTATTCTCCGGACCTGGGCTGCAAAGCTAGTCTTACGGCACAAGGCGAAAACACTGGTGGGGCCGATGACTTTCAAAAAAAATTGTTAAAAAAGGTATGGGCCAAAAGGTCTTTGCACAGTCACCTTTGCCAGATCGCTAGGTCATCATCATTGCTACCACGATTGTTATCATCATCGTCATCATCATCGTTATCATCATCGCCATCGCCATCGATAGCATCGTGACCATCGTAATTTTCATCATCATCGTTGTCTTCCTCGTCGTCAACATTTCGAGCGGTAGTATTTTTTAGGCGCGCAAGCCTTAATTAAGGGGTATTGGGCTCTTTGGGAAGAACCCTGAGCATTCAACTCAAGACTTCCCCACGATGACAAGTGCGGCTTTCCGACAATTAGGGGTACCTCAGGGTTCCTTTAAAGGGATAGGGGTACCGTACTTTTTGGGGGTGCTTATAGTAAGGATCCTACTATTTAGGATACTATATTAGGGTCCCCCATTTTCGGAAACTCCTAAGTCAGCTGTTGGAGGCCTCAACAACACAGAAACCCTAAACCCTAAGCCATTACTGCAGAACCCGAAACCTAAGCCCCACTGTTCCCAAAACGAACTTGTAAAGCATCCTTGAAGAATTGGTATTCCTATAGACTTCAACAATGCATGTAGAATCCCTAAACCCTCAACCCTGAACATTAAACCCTTAGCCCAGCTAGGCGGGCAGAGGAAAAGAGGGCTCAAAAAAGAAAAACCTTAGCCCACACCCTAAACTCCAAACCAGACCTCGAAACCCTAAACCCGAAGCCCAAACCGCCGCCGCCGTCGAAGATCTGCATTTGCGGCCGGAAGGCGCCTGTGGGGAGGCCTGAGAGTCTTCGCCCTCCTAGCCGACCGAGCCGGTTCAGGGCTTTGGCTTTGGGGTTCTGGATTTAGGGCTTTGGGTTTGGGGTTCTGGGTTTAGGGTACTGGGTTTAGGGTTTGAGTGCGGGGTTTGGGGTTTGGAGTTATATATCTAGAACAGAAGTTTCAACAGACATCGGAACAAGTCGTCCAATTAGTCAGAGCCTTCCTCTCGAGTGCCTGTGTAAACAGGTTTTCTTGCTGAAAGCACCTGAAGACCGCAGTATGCCTATTACTGCGCCCGTATTGGATTGGGGTTTCAGGGGTTTAGGGCCTCGGGTCGTCCACTGAATAATATTGGATCGGTTTGGGATGAGGTGCAGGGTTATATGAAGCAGGATCTACTGTAGGACTTCGTGAGTGTACAGAGGGCGCTTGGTACTGTTGGCGAAGGCATGTGGAGGTGTCGTTTTGTGGTTGCTATTCATACGGTTGATGATATAAACCCTGCATTGCTTTAGTGACCCTAGACTATGGGATTTATGGTATATTCCCTATTGTGGGTAACGCAGGGTTTATATCATCAACAGTATACCCCTTGTCTCAAACCCCTTGCACTTGTGAGGGCAGCAGGAGATGGCCCAAAGTCAGAAGGCAGATGCCTCGAAATCCTCGGTATCCTTGAGCCTTCATAGTTAGAATAGGGTTTTGGGGGGTATGGTATTCTAGATAATTGTGATATAAGGAACCCCCAAAAATAATATTGGTAAATAAGGCCTTGAGAGCCATGGCTCCGGAGCCCAAGAAACGCCGCTCAGTGCGACTTGGGCCTCCGCTGGCCGCTCTGCTCGCTGCCTTCGCCCTTTCGGAAGCTGGGCTCTTGTTAAGGAGCTTAGTTGAGAAGTTACCAGGGTAGGGACTTATGGTAAATAAATCACGGCTTCCTTATGATGGTGATTTAAACTAGATGGTCAAAAAACATGTGTAATGGATATGTCTTCCTTATGATTGTCACTTGAAGTAAGTTCACCCTAAACCCTAAACACCCCTAAACCAAGAGCCCTCACACCCCTAAACCAAGAGCCCTTACACCCCTAAACCAAGAACCCTTACACCCCTAAACCAAGAGCCCTTACACCCCTAAACCAAGAACCTTTACACCCTTAAACCAAGAGCCCTTACACCCCTAATCCAAGAGCCCTAACACCCCTAAACCAAGAGCCCTTATTACACCCCTAAACCACGAGCCTTTATTACACCCCTAAACCAAAAGCCCTTATTACACCCCTAAACCAAGAGCCCTTATTGCACCCCTAAACCAAGAGCCCTTATTGCACCCCTAATCCAAGAGCCCCTACACCCCTAAACCAAGAGCCCTTACCCAAACCAAGGGCCCTTACACCCCTAAACCAAGAGCCCTTACACCCCTAAACCAAGAGCCCTCACACCCCTAAACCAAGAGCCCTTATTACACCCCTAAACCAAGAGCCCTTACACCCCTAAACCAAGAGACCTTATTACACCCCTAAACCAAGAGCCCTTACACCCCTAAGCCAAGAGCCCTCACACTCCTAAACCAAGAGCCCTTATTACACCCCCAAACCAAGAGCCCTTATTCCACCCCTAAACCAAGAGCCCTTATTACACCCCTAAACCAAGAGCCCTTACACCCCTAAACCAAGAGCCCTTATTACACCCCTAAACCAAGAGCCCTTACACCCCTAAACCAAGAGACCTTATTACACCCCTAAACCAAGAGCCCTTACACCCCTAAGCCAAGAGCCCTCACACTCCTAAACCAAGAGCCCTTATTACACCCCCAAACCAAGAGCCCTTATTCCACCCCTAAACCAAGAGCCCTTATTACACCCCTAAACCAAGAGCCCTTACACCCCTAAACCAAGAGCCCTTACACCCCTAAACCAAGAGCCCTTATTGCACCCCTAAACCAAGAGCCCTTATTGCACCCCTAAACCAAGAGCCCTTATTACACCCCTAAACCAAGAGACCTTACACCCCTAAACCAAGAGCCCTTATTACACCCCTAAACCAAGAGCCCTTTTTCCACCCCTAAACCAAGAGCCCTTATTACACCCCTAAACCAAGAGCCCTTACACCCCTAAACCACGAGCAGTTACACCCCTAAACCAAGAGCCCTTATTACACCCCTAATCCAAGAGCCCTCACACCCCTAAACCAAGAGCCCTTATTACACCCCTAAACCAAGAGCCCTTATTACACCCCTAAACCAAGAGCCCTTACACCCCTAAACCAAGAGCCCTTATTCCACCCCTAAACCAAGAGCCCTCACACCCCTAAACCAAGAGCCCTTACACCCCTAAACCAAGAGCCCTTACACCCCTAAACCAAGAGACCTTACACCCCTAAACCAAAAACCCAGGACGGACTGGGCTTCGGCCTCCCAGTACCTCGCCGCGAGGCTCTCGGGGCAGCGCTCTCCTTGTCCTTGGGGGCCGGGGCTGGGGAGGACTGGGTCTTGCTTAGGGATTACCGCAATGGGGATATACCAGGGCTCCTCTAAGGGATCTTTAAGGGATTCCTTCCTAAACCCTAAAACCCTAAAACCCTAAACCCTAAATCCTAAACCCTAAGCCCTTAAATTCCCCGAACAAGAACCCCAGAGGAGGCCCGGGCAGCGACGGCCTCTGCGGGAGCCTCCCCTGTCTTCGTGGACTCGGCGATCTTCGAGCGTTTTCTGGGCTCTTCTTAACATGGGTGGTTGTCCAAATTATGGTCCCTTTTGGGGTAATTACCCTACATGTTGGTGCCGTATAATCATCAGGACCTGGAGGGTTTAGGGTTTACAGCAGAAGCGTAAAAGTTGGAAGGCCGATAGCTTCGATCCCTAAGAGCAAAGTATAGGGAAGCCCAGCACGAGTTGTCCTTAATTAGGTTTAATTGGAGTTTACAATAGGGTTTACGGTTGAAGAACCTACCATTCTCGGGTTTCCCTATGATGAGTTCCTTAATTCTATAAGTCCTTAAAAAGGTAGGTTCTTCAGGGTCCAGGAAGGAGCATCAATTCAAGCTGCCATCGCATGGGGATTTATAAGGGCTCCCTGAACGGATCTATAAGGGCTCATTTAAAGGATCTATAGGCTACCATAACAAGGAAGCCCTACTAATTATTTACTATAGGTCCCTATTGTGGAAATTAAAAATTGTGTTCCTTAGCACAAGAAGAACCCAGGTTTGGAGCACTTCAAGGACATCGGCGTCCCAGCCACGCTGCAAGACCCCATTGCGCGGGCGGCGATTGCAGACGGCACCTGCCGCTTAGTGGTCGCACCCGGATCTGGTCCGTTTCCCCTGGACGGCTACGATTTCTGGCACCACAACCCGGAAAGAGTCAATTCCGTCCTGAAGGCATTGGGAATTGCCCCAAAACCTAAATCACTGGCCTGATCCCCTAGAACCCACAACAACCCCAAATCCTAAAACACCCGTCCCCAAATCCTAAACCCTAAACCCCCTAAATCCCCGATCACCTGCAATATCCTGAAATTCTAGGCCCTACACCCTAAAGACCATGAAGGCTTTGGCTGAGTTGCCGTCCAGCTCCCAGCCATCGAAGTTCGTGAGGGCGGCAAAGAAGCAGCTCCCGAATGCTTGCTTCTTCGGTCTCCGCGCAGAGATCCTCGGGTCCTCAAATAGGACGAGTAAGTAGTTGTCGTAGTAGTAGCAGTAGTAGTAGTAGTACTACTACTACTACTACTACGACTACTACTGCTGCTACTACTACTGCTGCTGCTACTACTACTACTACTACTACTGATGATAATCGGATAGTATTGCCATTACCACAACAACAACGACGACGACTATTACCACTACCACTACCACTACCACTACCAATAGTACATGCAATAACATACTGGAAACAGCAATGCCGATTGCACTAGCAAACATACTATTAATACTGAGAATAACAATACCAAGAAATATTGATACGTAGTAATCGTAATAGTATAGCAATAGTAATAGTAACAGCAAAAGCAATAGTAATAGTATTTGTATTCGTAATAGTAATAGTATGAGTACTAGTAACAGTAATAGTGATACTAATAGTACTAGTAATGGTAGTAGAAATTGCAAAAGCAATAGTAATAGCAATAGTAGTACGATGGCAATAGTAATAGGAATACGGTTACTAATAGTAGTAGTAGTAGTAGTAGTAGTAGTAGTAGTAGTAGTAGTAGTAGTAGTAGTAGTAGTAGTAGTAGTAGTAGTAGTAGTAGTAGTAGTAGTAGTAGTAGTAGTAGTAGTAGTAGTAGTAGTAGTAGTAGTAGTAGTAGTAGGCACCCCCCCCTACCAACTACACTTGCTCTCAACCATGTTAAGACAACATCCATTTTACTCGGTATTTACGGCACTTTCGTCATGTGCGATCATCCTAAGAGGCCTAAAAATCGACTTGTCGAGTTTGCAAACTCGGGCTCTTGATTTTGGACTTGCTTCTGGGGGTGGGTGGGGGGGTGGGGGGGGGATGATGACGACAGTGTTACGCGAACACACCCAGCAGTATCACCACAAGAGCCGTTTAACTCGGTATTTACGGTACTTTCGTGATGTCAGACTTTGTTACATATTCTGAGCCCCTAATTCTCGACAATGCGTATTAAACTTTGCTGTCTGGAACTGTTTGCAAAAAAATTCGAAATTGGTTGGGGGAAAGCTTCTTCGGGGATGATCACGACACTGTTTTGCGGACACCCTGAACAATATTTCCACACTCAAGCGCGCACACACCACACACACCACTTCAAAAACAGACCCTCCTACGCAGAGGTTGGGCGGTAGGGGTGTTGGCGAGCCCCTCCCACGTACAGCTGGCATCTTTGTTTTTGATGTTTAGAAGATGTTGCGCTTCAGGTTTAGAAATGTTAAACCCTTCTTGGCAGCACCTGGGTTTTGCACGGTATTTACAGCGTTTTCGTACTATCCGACCACCTGGGGTTTATCAGTTTCTTCCCCGTCGAGCTTGCAACTCCAGCTGCTGTCGCAGTTTTGGGGCCTGAGCCCCTGCAACTTCACCGGCTGTGACAGTTAAGGAAACTGAGCCTCTGCAACTTCTGCAGCTGTCACAGATAAGGAGCCTGAGCCCGTGCATCTTCTGCAACTATCGCAGTTAAGGCGCCTAGCAGCTACCGCTGCCCAGCCCGGATGGAACAAGTGTACTTGGGAGGGGGGGGGGGGTGGCTAGTAGTAGTAGTAGTAGTAGTAGTAGTAGTAGTAATAGTGATTGTACTACTAATAGTAGTAGTAATAGTAATAGTAGTAGTAATAGTGATAGAAATCGAGTTTGGGTGTAGGGCCTCCAGGGTTTTTTTCTGGTTTTACGGTTTCGGGTTTTGGGGTTTGGGATCTTAGTGACGCCCTAAACCCTAAGCCCTAAACCCTAAACCTTAGGGTAGACGGAACAAGGGCCCTTAAAAAAAAAAAAACTAAACCTTAACCGACTTAGTGATGCTATTACTGTCTGCGCCGGCTCACCACAATCGTATAGAGCTCCCCGGGTTGATAAGGGTTTGGGGCTTTGGGCTTTGCCGATAGGGTGCATGGGTGTTGATGTCATAGGGGTTAGGATCCAAGGATTGTTATACCACTTTCGACTTTGACCGCTTGATTATGTACTTTTTGGGCTGTTCGAGTTAGGGTAGACGGTATAGGGTTTATGCATGTTTGTCGCGTTGGGTTTAGGGCCAAGCAGACCAACCAGTAGGACGTAGAGGGTTTGTTAAGGGTCCTGGGATGAGGACACTACTTTGTTCATTTTGGGGAGTATCCTTTTGACAAGATTGAGCCCTAGCCCTAATCCCTAAACCCTAAACCCTGAGCCCTATATTGGTAACTAAAGGTCATCATCTTCATGCTCATCGTCAGGAAAGTAGATACTACTTACTGTGTGGAAGAACGGTACTCATGTAGGGAACCCAAGGGCTCCAGTACCCCTTACCCTAGGCATGTAAGGACTCATATATTAAGGCTTTTGGGCCCAAAGACCATACTATATAAGGCTTTTGGGCTATTTTGATGCCCAGGGTCAGTTAAAGAATATACTTCAAATTATAGGAGGATCCCTCATATGGTTTAAGGAAATTGCTTCATTAAGGGGTATGGGAGTCTCTGGGTACCCTCAAAGCTAAACCCTACAGAGCCCTTATAGGTTCCGTAAAGGAACCCTTAAGTTATGTTGGAGTTTCCCCTGAACCCTAAACCGAACTTAGGGTTTAGGGACCCTAAACCCTAAACCCTTAAAACAAAAAAACGAACTTAGGACAAGCAAACTGGATCTCTACGAACCATCTGCCTTGGCCAAGACGCTTTCCAACTGGCACAGGGTGCTTTGCGACCCTAACTGCGACGACCCTGCAGAGGTGCATCTAGGGGCCGTAATGATTAGAATAGGGTTTCGGGGGCATATAATGCTGTAGTAAGAATAAGAAACCCCAAAAGATAAGATATTGAATAAGTTATTCATTGGAAGCAACAGAAGGGGTCCTACAGTTGAAAGTAATATAAGGGGTCGTACTATTTGGGAATAACATAGGCGGTCTTATTAAGTAGAGTAGGGTTTGGGTTCTAGTATACTATCATTATGGAAGGGAATACCTGCAGAGGAGCCACAGCAGCAAGCGCTCACCACCGGCTTCATTTGCATGGCGGTTTGCGACACAGCGAAGATGAAGCTGACCGCTGCAGCTATGGGCAGCTTCTCACAGAGCGTAGCAGCGGCTCAATCAACAGCGACGAGCATGTGTGCTGCCATGCCATGGACCATCACAAGAGGGCCACTAACGCCACTGGATGGCCTGAAATCCTACGACGCGATTGCTGCAGCGACTACGCCATGGCGAAAGGTATGTGGTTGCACCGCATGATGCGATGCTGAGCCCGTTGTTTTCTTGATCTGCTGCCACGGCCATTTGAATCTGCCCTGGCTAGCATGACATATTGCTGCTGAAAGCGTGGCGAGTTCTTGCCGGATGATCTAGACCCTCTGGGTTGTCATGGCCGAAACATGCGCAGAGCACCGGACCACAGAATTACCGTGCGCTACAATGCACTACGCTACAATGCATGATTCCAAGCGGCAGATCAACACACCAGCGCTGTATATGTGTACGTAGTATGTAGACCGTCGGCTTGAGTTTCAAGGCAGGGAGTAGCTCTCCTACTTGGAGGTTCAGGGGTAGTTATAAGTAGGGTTATAAGTCCCCTAATATGGGTTATGAGTATAGTTACTCTACATATATCCCTACTTATAACTACCCATGAACCTCCAAGTAGACTCTTGTGGGCTTTTCCAGGAGCTTTATTGGGCTAGTCAAGGTGAGTGGTTGGATTATCAGAATACAAACCATACTGAGGCTCAGCCGCCTCATGCCAACGTGGTAGTATGGGGTCTGCATAACTAGAAAAGTATGCCCTTCGACTCCCTGTTTAAATTTAGGTTTAGTATGACATAGTTGTAAGGGCCCAGCTTTTAGTAGGAGCAGCATGAGTTCCCCGAGCCACTGTGTCTTTTCAGTAGGGTTACGTATACTGTATAATGCACGATAGAGGATTCTTGTACAGAAGTATGAAGTATGGCGTTTGTGCAAGGTGTTGTTGGTCGGAGAGAATTTTGCAGGCTCAGGCTTGCGGACCCCAGAGGGGAAGGCGCATTTTTTCAGTTTTAGAGGTGCGCTCCTGAAAGGGAAGCAGTTCCTACCCTTGACTCCGTGGTGCAATGGCATGCGGTGCCTCCTTGACTCCTCTGGCCCAGTATGCGAAATCCTTGCAGGCCAACCGAGCCGATGGTGTTCCCATGCATTTCCCCATGTACACGGTGCCTCTGGACACTTTGCTGGAGATGACCAAGGTCGAACCTCACGAAGTGGTGAAGGCCAAAGGCTTGCTGGTGGACTTTCAAAGCTCCATGGGCAAAGCCGCGTTTGTTTCGCACCAGTGGGTCGCCCCTGACCACCCCGACCCAGAGTTCAAGCAGATGAGGGTGTTGCAGGAGGCACTCATGGAAATGAAGAAGGGCAACTTGCAGAGCATACCTGTGGAACTTGTTTCAGAAGCCGCAGAGGGACATGTAAAGCCCTTGCCAACATCAAGGCTTTTGTCCGAACCCCTGTTTTTCTGGTATGACTATTTTTCATGCCCGCAGAAAGATCGGTTGAGTCGAAGCATGACATCACTCTTCTCTCCTGAGGGTGAATCTGGAAGTAAGCTGCTGAATGCCATCAACAGCATACCAGCCTATGTGCAAGAGAGCTCCTTCTTCTTCGCGCTTGTGCCGGTGTTAGAAAATCCGCACACATGCAATTTGATCACGCCTCTGACTTGGCAGTCCCGCGGATGGTGTCGCCTTGAGAGGACATGCGGAGAACTCTCTCAGCAACACTCTTGTATCATGGTGAAGAGCCCCAAAGACGTTGAGCTCATAGCAGGTACTTGTGCATTCCTTCGCGCCGGATGTGGTCCGGTGGGTGAGGGCGTCTTCACTGTGCCGCAGGATCGCGTAAAGCTTGGACCAGTTCTCGTGGCAGCACTGAAACGCCGCATGCTGAGCTTGCTCAAAGCCCAGGACTTGCCGGGGTACCGTGCGTTGCTGAACCAGCAACACATGTTGCTCAGAGGAATGAACTGTGAAGCCGCCGAGCCCTTCTTGGACATGGACGAGGAAGACCCCAAGTCGACCTCTTCGGACGCCGAGTCCTCCCTTGTCAGGATTTAGGGTCCAAAGTACCTTTGTAGTAGAATGTAGGGTTTCTATATTAGCAATTACTATTGTGATTTTGGGGGAAGTATCCCCTATAACAGTACTTAGAACCCTTGGCAGGATTTTTTTCCACCAGAACGGCTTCCGCAGCGTGAGGGAGATCGACGCTGGCGGCTGGTCGCCTCTTCACTACGCAACTCTGAAACTCAGTAGCTGAGTGGAGACACTTTACACTTTTTGGGATCATATTACCCACTATAAAACTGCAAATGTATACTTTTCTGGGGCTTATGAACTCAGCAACTAAGGAAAGGGGACCCTTTGTTGGTGGAGAATCTGCTGAAGATCCAGGCAGACCCGAACCAAGGAAGCAAGAAAGTCCACCCGGCCATCGGACAGCCTGCAGGGACTCCACCCCTGTCCCTTTCTCATAATTAGCTGGGTACCATTTTACATTTTTATGGCCCCCCCAAGAAAGAAATAGACATGTAGCGTTTTAATCCTATCCCAACCATGAACTAGGTCCATCGCCTGCATTTTCAAGAACAATGAAGCCGCAAAGCTTCTCCTCTCAGCAACTTGGCTCTTGTTAAGGGATTTAGTTTAAGGTACCATAACAATAGGGATCTGTAGTGAATAATATGGTTTCACGTATTCTGGTAACTTAAATTAAATCCCCTAACAAGAACCCAGGCAAAAGCAAGAGTTGCAAGTCGTATGTTTGTCCGCGGCCCTTTCAATTGCGCAGCCCACGCAAATAACACAGAAGCCATCCAGATTCTTTGCCAAGCTGGGTGCAGCCCGGCTCAAACGAATCTTTGTCATCGTTGGATAACATTTTTGCATTTTTATAGGTAGTTAAACCCAATAAGGAATAAAAGTGTACACTTTTAACCCTATCCCAACCATAAACTAGGAATGTCTTTGGCATAAGTGTCATGGATGGTGCTGCCTATCATGGAGCATTGGAAGCCATAGATGAGCTTCTTTCTCAGAGCACTGCAAGTGCCCTCAATCCAACTTCTGCTCTTTATAACGCAGCAATGGGGGGCGGGAGTGCTGATGTGGTGCATCGACTGCTCGAAATGAGGGCAAACGTGAATGCACAGACGGATGAGCACTGGAAGCGCACGGCAATGATTCGGACCTTATACAAAGTGAAGGTCCTGCAACACCAGCTCGGCAAGGTCACCATGGTAAGCAAGAGTCTGGGTTCTTGATAAAGAATTTAATTTCAGTTACCATATCAGGGATTCTTAGTAAATAAACATGGTTGCCGTATTATGCTACTTTAAATCCTTCAACCAGAACCCAGGATTTTATACCATGCGAAAGGCGCGACTCCTCTCATGATCGCCTTGCTGACGGGGCAGCACGAACCTTAGTTCCCCAATACTCAGCCTTTAAGCTTTTCGGGTTCTTAGAGTTTAGTAGTAACCAGAAAGTTTAACTTGTATTTCTGTGGCTTATTGGGCAAGTAAGTAGAGGCCTTATAATTACCTATACTGTTTTGGGGGGTTCCTTATTTCTGTTTAAGCATGATGAGGAAGTACTTGGAGGTTCAGGGGTAGTTATAAGGTTGTAAGTCCCCTAGTATGGGTCATAAGTATAGTTACCCTACTTATAACTACCCATGAACCCTAAACCATATACCCTTATCGAATCCCTATAGATCCCTTTAAAGGACCCCTATGAACCCTACTTATATCTACTCGTGAACCTCCAAGTAAGGAATGCGCCGCAGCCCTGATCGCAGCAGGGGCAGATCTGACTCGAGTGAACTCGAGGGGATGGACTCCTGTCTTTTTTCAGGGATTAGGGTTTAAAGGGAACTCCAGAAAGTTGGAACATGGTTTCATGGTAGGATACCCTGTAATTCACCATAGAAGGGTTAGGATAATCATATTCCAACTTTCTGGCTTCTACTATAGGGTTTAGGGTTTAAGGTTTAGGGGACTCCTGTCTTAGAAAAGCTTAGGGGTACTTAGAGACAACTTGTATTTTTTTGGTCATTAGAATCCCTAAGAAACAGCTAAAAAATTATGATTTTGGCTAGGGTTCTTAATTCAGTATAGAAAAAGGGGCCTTACTTAGAGGATCATGGGACCTAGTAGCTAAGGTTACTATTAGGGTAACTATACTTATAGCTGCTTATAACCCCAATTAGGGCACTTATAACCATACCTACTAAGTCCCACGATCCTGCAAGTAATAATTGGCTATAGTAATTAGAATAGAGTTCCCTTTCCAGGGTTCCACTTCAGGGGTCTATAGTAGGGTTCTATAGTGTAGGGGCCGTAAAAATCTAAATAATCAGCTATACTGTTTTGGTGGTTCCCTTTAAGGGGATCCTTACTAAGGGGTCTATAAGGAATCTATAGTAGGGTTCTATGGTATACCTATAGTCTCCATTGCAGTTTCTTTTTTGGTTTAACCAATTTTATATTAAGGATCCTAAAAGGTAGCCCCAAAAAGGAATTACAATGGAGACTATACTTGGAGGCCCTCTTGACTTAGTAAGTAGGGTTAGTAAGGTGGGTTATGGGGATTATAATAGGGTTTCTAGGGGATACTAAGTAGACTTACTAAGTCAACAGGGCCTCCAAGTAGGGAGGGCCTTACTGGGTGCCTAGATTAGTTTGGGGGTTCCTTATTGTACTTATCGTGTAAGGGGCCCCCAAAAAACCCTGTTCGAACTATTGAGGCCCCAATATTAGAAGCTGCCCCCACCCTGTAATACTGGTATAGTAGGAATATAGTAGGGCCCTAATATAATCCTTATAGTCACTATTACAGGGTGGTGGCAGCTTCTAACCCCTATATTAGCTCTCCAACATGAAACTTTCTTGATCTTGAAAGGTTGCGTGCTGTAGTAGCCTGAAAGTTTGTGTGGCCTGTGGCCTATTGGGTCAGTAAGGACTGCAGCGGACTTCTTGCAAGGGCATTCCGTGCCGGAGTTCTTGCGTGAGGCCTTCGAAGGAAGAGTGGAAGCATGTCAAAGGGTGTCGCAACTCTCACGTGGCTGGGTCAGAGTGAAGGTTTAGGGTTTGGGGTCTACCAGAACCCCCTTCAAGTACCCCTTAAAAGAGCCCTTATGGTCCTTTATAGTGGGTATTTAAGGGGTTAGTTGGGGGTGAGGGTTTAGTACTTTGATGCCACGCTGGGCAC